ATCTCTCACTGTCTTAGAGTTGTCATGTAGGCTGGACTGGATGGTCAGAAAGCCCCAAGAATCCAGCCTTCTCTACCTCCTTAGTGCTGGGATTGCAAGCTTACATCATCATGCCTGGATTTGTGTTGGGGGCCGGGGGGTCAGGGTCTAGACATTGAACTAAAGTCCTCATACTTACAAGATGAGCCCTGTGCCAACTGGCCTGTCTGTCCAGCTCTTTTTTCCTTTTTTGTTTAGTCTGGGATTCCAGTTCACGGGATGCTGCCAACCACATTCTGGATGAGTCTCCTTCCTCAGTTAAATCTCTCTGGAAACACTGTCTCAGACAGGCCCAGAGATATGTCTCCTGGGTGCTTCCAAATCTAATCAAGCTGACAGTGAAGATGTCAAAGGCTGTGAGGGTTGAGTCGCACACCGTATTTTGAAGGACATAAGTCAGCATTATGGGGACTCAAGTGTCTGCCCCTGTCTGTGGTAGCCACTTCTCTCAGGAAGATCCTGCTTCCTGGCTGTCACCCACAAAGGTCACAAGTCGGCCGCCATCCACCACCCTCTGCTGTTTGCTAGACAGAGTTACATGGGTCCCTCCCCATAAACAAACAAAAAAAAAAATGAAACAAAGAATCAAAATGGTTACTACTTCATCCTGCCAGGACTCCGGCAATTTCCTCAAGATTTGGAAGGGGCAGATAGCATAGGTGTGTTGGGGTACCTTGCACCTTCCCAGGGATATTCTGGGAAGAGGCCCCTCTGGACTGGTACACGCAGGGACAGAGTCCTGTATTTCTGTCATGGGAATGAGCTTGAAGGAAACCATTGTTGTTTGACATCTGGATGCCAGGGTTCCCAGTCCTAAGTTAACTTGGGATATGAACACAGAGACTCCAACATGACCTTGAAATAGAAGGGTTGAGGGGCTTGGGAGCCTAACATGTGGGGGGGGAGGACTGGCCAGCATGCCCACCTGCCTGCCCACACTCTTCCTTGGGAGGTGCCCCTGGAAGCTTCTCCTTCCTTCCTCCTGACACAGCCTGAGAGAGCAGTGTCACTTGACCTCAGGGCACATTCCAGAATGAGGGCACAGCCAAGAATAGGACCCAGGAGCCCTGCCACCATCCTGCCTGCATTACTCACACACTCCCTAGAGAGGAGGAGAAGGGAGCCCTGGGATCTTGGGGGAGGTGGCATAAGAAAAGGTACCGGAGTGAGGCTGAGAAGAAGCAAACACCCCAGAGGGACCCTTCTGGTCCCATGGTGGTCACAAAATGCAGTGGCCTCACATTGCCCTCCTCCCAGATCCTGTGTTCATCCAGTGACACCCCCCCACCCCACCCCCACCCTCGCTTGTGAGCTCTGAGCAGGGCCGCAGTGTTCCTGGAGCCCTGGGCTGTTACTCTGATTTGGGTCAGCATCAGCCTAGAGGCAAGCCAGGCTTGGAGAAGAGGCTGAGGCAGCCTAGGGACAGCAGAGGCTGCCCCCAAGGAGCTGCCTGCTGAACGATGAGGCAGTATAAGGCTAATGTCTGGCCCGGGAATCTAGGCCATGACTGCAGTTCTGTGTGATGGAAACTCGTCACGTGTCCAGGATGTAAACAGCTCTGGGGGGGATGCGCCTGCAAATAACTGGCTTGAGCCTTGGTCTGCAGAGGCAGCTGGGTTCAAGACTGGACTCCTCACTGCTCATCCAGGCAGAACAGGGTACATGTGTGCATGCCTCTGGGTGTGTGTGTGTGTGTGTGCATGCCTGTATGTATTTCATACAGTAATAGAAACAGCATAACACAAGAATTCAGAGTTCTCAATAGCAATATGTAACCCTTGGCTTTGCCATTTGGCAGCTGAGTGATCCTGAGAAAGTTTCTGGTGTGTGCACATGTGCCTTTGTGTGTACGCAAGTATGCTTGCCAGTGCCTGCCTGCATGCATGGAAGCCAGAGGTTGGTGTCAGGTGTCCTCCTCTGTCACTCCCCACCTTATTTTATTATTACTTATTTATGTACTTATTTTTCACATATTTATTTATTATGTGTATGTGGGGTGAGCGTTGCCACAACGTGTGTGTGTGTGTGTGTGTGTGTGTGTGTGTGTTTACACAACTTGTGGCAATAGGTTCTTTCTACTGTGTGGTACCTAAGGATTGAACTCAGGCATGGCAGCAAATCCTTTTCCTCACTGAACCATCACCCTTCCTCCATATTTTTGGAACAGGGCTTCTAACTGAACTTGCACTCGTACATTCAGCTAGACTGGCTGGCTGGGCAAGCCCCCAGTATCCTCCTGAATTCACATCCCCCAGCTTTTTTACATGGATTCTAGGGATCTAGGGTCTTCGTGCTTATACTCAGCTATCTCCCTAGTCCATTTTTGTTTGTTTGTTTGTTGTTTTACCTTTGCCTTTGAGATGGAACCTTGCTACGAAGCCAAGTCTGTCCTTGAACCTGAAATTCTCCTTCCTCTGACTCCCAAGTGCTAGAATTATAGCCCTGTGTTTTGGTACACGGCTAGGTAAATCTGTCATTATTCTTGCCTTATTTTTCCCACCTACAAAACGGCATTGTGACTCCTGCAATCTCAGTGTAGACCTCAGAGGAAAGTGCTTGGTGCTGCCTCAAAGTGAACTCTGTTGGTCCAATGTTATCATCATGGGGCTTTTGGAGATCATAGCCGAAAGAAACAGCCACGAGGCTATGTGTTACTACAGTCCCCTTTTCTAGTTGAATTTTTGTCCTAGCACTTGGGTGGATTTCTGGCCCCACTATTCAGAGGGTGACATCAGACTAGGGAGCATCTGGCCAGACAATGGAGCAGAGTGTCCCAGGAGGCTGGGGACCAGGAAGAGGGAGGGAGAAGGGTAAACAAAGCCACAGTGCCTTGCTTAGGGGTGATGGGAACAGTTCTGGTCTAGTGTCAGCCAAGCCTGAATAGATTAGAAGGGAAGAAAAGGCCTGGAGACCAGGCTAGTGGTAAGAAGAGCCGTACAGTCTTGCAGGAAAACATGACTGGCCTTGCTGTAGGTGGCCCCACATTACTTGTGTTCTGGAGCAGGATTGAGGCCATGTCTCCCAGACTGAGCCAGGTGACCTTCACAGGTACCCCTGCCTCGGAAACTCAGGTCAGCCTGAGAACCCACACCCCTGTCGGCCGTTGCAAAAGGCCGGGCCAGCAAAGATGAAAAGACAAGGCAGCATTTCCAGAGAAAAATCAATCCCACACAGCAGGTCAGAAATTGCCATAGCTTCTCAGTCACCCACCCCCTCAGCACTCATAGCTTCTAAGCCCCAAATCAGCCTATGTGAGGGGCTCATTACAGCTGGCTTCTGTGAGAAACAGGATCTGGCCAAGGCCCAAGGGCCAGAATGATGAGGGGAGGTGTTCGGTAGTGTGGCCCATCCTTGGCCAGGGAGCTTTACAGGGTGAAAGGGCTACTCTGTGCCAGGCTGCAGTCTTACAAAGGTAATTGGTTGATTCCCAAGTCTCCCTAAGACTAGCCAGGCAACACAGTCTGACATGCCTGTGATCTCGGCACTTGAGAAACGAGACAGGAGAATCATGAGTTTGAGACCATTCTGGACTACAGAGTGACCTGAGGTGAGTTTGCCATCTGAGGTGAGTTTGTGCAATACTGAGAGAGTGTCTAAAACAAAACCAAACAAATCCAGGGCAGAGGAGATGGTTCAGTGCTAATGCTCTTGCCTCATAAGCGTGAGGGCCCAAGTTTGCATCTCCTGAGCTCCCAGAGAGCCAACACACACAATAACAGCAACAACAAACCAGAAACATGATGTTTTCCCTAGGTGTTCTCACTAGTCTTTGCGTGGCTAAGCATGAGGAGGTTCAGAGGGGGCAGGTTGGTGGATTCAGTACAGGCTGGATTCAGATCTTGGTGAAGCTGGTCTCGTGGGCTGGGTGGTTTCTGCACCGTCGGCCTGGCATTGTGGGTGATCCCCTGAACTTCCCTCTTTACTGGGGGAGAAGAACTGTAAGCTGGGCCTAACCATAAGGGTTAGACTCCTGTTTGCATAAGTGAACTAGAGTGTCAGGTAACAGGTGTGACTGCTGACTGAGCATCTGCCTCTTGGGCTCTGAGGCTTCTGTTGGACGTTGTGGCCTAGAAGCAGGTTCAGCCAATGTCCTTAGGACAGAGCAGGGTGACAGTCCTGTCCAGCCACTCCTGGACACTTGACCAGGTTGGGAAACGACCATGACTCATGCCATCCTGATGGCAAAGTTTTTTGCTGAGTGTCCTTCAGGGATGGTGCAGAGTCCCCACCCCCTGCCCTCTCTTCTCTGCAGAAACAGAAGCTCTTTGTCCCCTCTTCAAGCCTTTACTATAGGTGAAAATGGCTGCTCTAGGTTGGGCTGGACCTGGCCTGGATTCCTCTTTTTTGGAGATGGCCCTGGGAACCCCAGGGAACTGCAAGAAAGAGGTCCCTCTTTTGAGGGTCAGAGAAGCTGTGGGTTCCAGACCCTTGACTGGATCTGAGGAGCAGCAGTAAGTCTCCCTGGGGCCAAATGCACTTCAGCCAGCAGTGTTCGAACTCGGCAGGCTCCCTGAGTACACTGGAGACCGGGCCTCATCCTGGAGTCTAGAAGTCACAGCTGAGCAGCAGCTTCCCCTCCTCGTGTCTCTCCTACCTTCTCACTCAGACTCCACATTACCAGAGTCAGGATCTCGTCTATGGCCCTGACCCCCCACTCTCACCCACAGAACACTTAGACCACATATGGGGGGGCAGGGGCTAGGCCTCTCAGCCTCTGACTATGGACAAGTCACTCTGCCTTGTTGATTTCGTTTTCTCCTGTTTATTTCATAGAACTGTGCTCACCACAGTTAAGGTGCCCTCATATCTCATAGGGAACCTGAAAATCTACTGGGTTCTTCTCCACTGACCAAATATGGTCCCGTTGACCAGACTTCCCCCCTAAGAGGTCACCCAGTACCAATGATGTGATTACAGACCCTTCCTTGCCTTTCCAAAAGAGCCACGCAGGTAGAACAGTAGACACTATGGATTTTTATTTAGTATGGTCCTCCTTATATTTGAGGAAGACATTAGGGCATCCCACAATGCCTCCTTTGGAGGGAGGTGAACAGAATGAAGGGCGGCAGAGGGAACAGGACAGATGCAGAGAGAGATGGCAGAGGGGTTCCAAATCCTCTGCCCAGTGCCCATGTGGCTGGGACCAGAAGAAACAAGTGATCTCAGAGCTGCCATCTCCAAAAGGCCCCTCCCAGGCCCCACCTAGATAGTTCCTCCCTCCTGATCCCCGCAGACACACCTTCTCACCACCAGATGGCAACATGGAGCAATATTCCTGCTCCCTGGGCCCGCCTCTGCTCTGATTCCTGGGATGTGGTCCCCTGCCCCTCCTGCCTTTTGTCTTTATTTCTCTTGCTGCCAAAACAGACCCTGAGGCTTCTGCAAGGAAGTTCATGACCTATGAAAGCACACCGTCTATCCAATGGAAGTGGCTGACTGTTGCCAATCACCCACTGGCTCCTGGGGGAGCCTAGGATCAGGACTTTGTGTTTCTGTTCTATGGTCCTAGCACCTGGCACCCAAGAAGTGTCCACTGCGCTGAAATGAACAGAAACCAACCAAACAACCAATGCAGCTAAGGAGAGAAAACATGATTTTGCTGGTGTGGTAGCCTCAGGGACACAAACTGACCCCACCAAAGGCCACAGTCCCTGAAGCCTCCATAAGATAGGTTATATCCTGGGTTGGACAGTGCTCTGGTTTCCCATGGCTCACAACCCTTGATATGAGGCAGTCTCTGTTTACAGTGATGCAGAAGGCAGTGGGGAAGTTGTCTTAAGCAATCTTTGGACTCTCTTATCTCTCCCCACATAACCTCTATGCAAGCTAAACCATTTAACAGTGTAGATGCCATCTCCTGGCTAGGAGACTGGGCAGAGGGACATGAGTCAGCAAAGGGGATGAGACTACCTGAGGGGACCACTCGTGGGAAATAACTTAGATGTGTCTTTTCTTCTCCTTTTGCCAACTTCCCTCCCAGTTTAAAAAGAAATGGGCCTTCTATTGAACCCCAAGACTAGAGGTCATTTTCAGACGTATGGTGACTTTCTTCCCACATGTTAGCTGATGTTTCTCCTGTGGCCACGGCTGCCTAATCTGATCTTGCCCGTTTGGCTGACTGAGGGCAGGGGGTGGGTGGGTGGAGGAGGGTCAGGGTAGGTTGGCCAGCTTCAGCGCAAGCCCAGGAAGTCCTTGAGGACATCGCAGGTTTTCTTGTGCATGACCTCACGAAGCTTCCTTACCCGCCGGGTGCTCGAGGTGCCCACAAAACTGTCAGGTCTCAGCATGGCCATGCCCCCTGCTACCTCCCCCATGATGATGAGCTGTGTCTCGCCCACGGTCACGTTGGGGCAAGGGCAGGCCCAGTCTACGTGAAGCAGAGTGACCTCCAGTGGCTCCCGGCCCAGAAACTTGAGGCCCATCTTCTCATCTTTTAGGACCTCATCCACGGTCACCAGGGCACGGCCTGAATCCGGCTCCTCAGTCAGTTCCGAGACCCTGCCCAGGATGACAAAATCACTTCGGCAGAAGCTAGTGACAAGCTTTTGCCGTGGCTTGCAGGCCCGACAGTGCTGGTTGCCCCGTGGGAAGGGACATGACTCCTCGCAGGCCTCTCGGCTTTCAAAGTTGTTGCCATTGCCCTCACAGCCTCCGTAGACGAAGGACTGGCATAGGCCTGTCTGGCTGTTGTAGGCCCAGCGTGGTACGTAAGCTTTGCAGGGCCCCTGAAGGGCAGGCAGGCTGCATGTGGCCAGTGGCTCACTCATACAAGCCAGCATGCAGGCCTCATAGGTCTCAAAGTGGTTGAGATTGCGATGGCAGTGGCCAAAGGTAAAAGTGAGGCAATTGTTAGCCTGGGCATCGAAGTGCCAGCGTGTCTGCTCCTCTCCACAGTCCTCGCTGTCTGGGGGCTTCAGGCACTCAGTTGCTGGGAAGGCCGTGCCATTGAGATTGCTCTCCGAGGTGGCCCTTGCCTGACCTCCCCTGACCACTGACAATGGGAAGTCAGCCCTTAGGACTCCAGCAGCATTCTGGGCTGTACAAGTGTATATGCCAGCATCCTGGAGCTGGGCATTGTAGATGACCAGCTGGGCAATGTTGGTGACCACCACGTTACCACGGACATGATTGGGCCTCATGACCACATTCTCTCGATCCTCTAGTTGTTTCTCCCAAGTGAGCTCCGGCCGGGGCCGGCCTACCACATCACAGAGGAAACTCACAGTCTCACCCACGGTGACTGACTGATGGACAGGATGGTTGAGCAGGGCCGGGGCTGCCATGTCCAACCCCAGAGTCTCCGGAGAGGCCGTGGTAGGATGTACAGTGGTCTCGGGCGGTGGAGGGCTAGTGTTGGGCCAGGTAAAATGATAGCGGCAGGTGACCACGGCCAGGGAGATGCCCTTGGAGCAGGCCTCGGCATCCATGTAGCAGCGGTTGTAGTAGGTGAGGCCGTCAGAGGCACAGGTGAAGCTGGGCTCCTTTTCACAGCGGTCTTTGCACTTGCACACGGGCTGTCCATCCCAGATGTCACACTCGGAGCCCTGCTGCAGACACGTGAAGTGATCACAAGTGGCCTCTTTGGGCATGCCCACAGGGCCCTTCTTCCCTTTCACATCCATGTAGCGGGCTGCCACACAGCTCTTGGTCCCACACACATTGGGGCAGCACTTCTCGTAGGTCTCGCATTCCTGAAAGAGCCAGAGAGAGACAGAGGGGCTTCTGAGCAGAGATGAAGCAAGAACAGATTCCCATGCCGTCACCACCACCCCCCAAAGGCTGAGACATGAAAACTTACACATGTGTATACGCAGAGCACTAATGTAGACAAGAACTCACATAGACCCAACACCTCCTGTCTGTCAGGCTCCTGCCCATCCCTCTCTTCCAAGCCCAAGGGGGTACAACCACCATTCCCACCTTGTACCGAATCTAAAGCACAGAGAGGTTAAACAACTTGCCCAAGATCACAGAGCTGGTAGTGTGGGAAGAGATGGGCCACAGACCTCTAAAAGGGGGTATGTGCTCACTGCTATTTTCAAAATGAGAACATAGAGAGGCAGAGAGACGGCCCTCAAGCCACAGAGATGAGAGGTGGCAGAAAAGGGCCCCAGGCGCTCCTAAGTGGGATCCTGAAAAGGAACACCATATGGTTACCCAGAAGAAGCATAGGCTTAGAGCATGAGGCTGACTTTTTCTCTTTCTCCCACTGAGGGAAGGATGTGTTGGATACCTTGAAGAGGTCGAATCTTGGACTCATGTTCAAGGCTAGCCACACCTATTCTTCCCCCTGGGAAGCCCCCAACACACACTGAACCCAGGATGTCAGAGAACCCTGGTGACCAGAAAAAAAAAGTCCCCCTGTGTGGTATGAGCAAAGCCTCGATACTCAGTAATCCCCCTCTGACTTCTGTGGAGTCATGTAAGGCTTTACTTTAATTCTTTAAAATTAGCACATGCCACTAGAGCCGAAACAAACACGGAGTGCATGTGGTGTTTTGCACAATGTCACACCGTGTGGCTGGGCGGCTTGGCTGGGCTGCTAATCCTCCACCAGGTAGTGGCTGTGTGAAGTAGTCCCCACCACACTGGCCTCTTGTCCTCCCCACTTTGATTCCAGCCTTTTTGACATTCCACATGAGCTAAGAGGAGGAAAACACCCCCCACCCGGCTGCGTGGAGCCGCCGCTCGACTTGTCTACTGTTTCTCCCCCTTTCGGCTTAGAATAAGGACTTTGTTTTGCAGCTCTTGTTTGGCATAGGCTTCTGGGCCACAACAGGGGAAGCTTGGGAACAGAGATGGGTCACATCCAGAGCTGAGGTTCAAGGGAGAGAGATCTTGAGGATGGAAGGCAGATGGGGACAGAGTGACCTGTGAACAGGAAAGCCTGCTCCTTGGCCTGAGGGCTACTCCATTCCAATGTGGGTAGGCAGTTCTCTCAGGATCCAGAGGTCCAGGAGTGGCTAGACACTCAGGATCCAGAACCCTTGGCGACCTGGTGAAGGAACCCTGGAGGGGATATTTAGAATACTTTCACTTAAGGACTTACAATGTCCCCATGGGCTACCTGGATCCTTAGCGGCACTCAGGTGCCTTCTCCGGACAGCATGCAAAGCCAACCAGAGCTCCACTGTCCCTAAGTGCCATTTGACTTCAGGCTAACTAGCATCAGTGAAAAACATTCTCCAGAGGTAGCCATCTGATGGCATGAGCTCTGTGGATGGGAGAATTGTCATCTTCCCCTGTTCCTTTTTCCTCAGCAACACCACCATGTACTGGAGCACCTGTCTTGAGAAGCCTGAGAATGGTCCCCAGGTCACATGAGGCAGAAGGCACTCTCTTCATGGTAGCCACATACTTTCCCACTGTGATCAGCTACTTCCAGTAGCACTGGGGCCTCCCATGTTCTTTAATGGTGCTTAACCCAGACCCTGGGCGGCCCTCAGAGATGGCCAGGCAGAAAGTTGCCACACCGAGAGCAGGCACAGGTACTGTGGTAAACCTATAGACATTTCTCCCAACAGCAGTGGACAAAGATAGCCCTTGGAAGAACCCCCCTGGCAGCCAGGGAGTAACCATCTGGAAGTGGCCCTTGCTTACTGCAGGATCCACGAGGGAGGAGCACAGGGGAGCACTGAGAGCCCGACAGGTGGGAACTCAGCTCATTTTCCTCCCAGGACACTTAGAGTGTTTGCACAGATTAGCTCCCGCTCCTCATTGCTGTGTGGCCAAGTCCAAACCTGGGAAGGGGCCTAGAAATCTGGCATAACTAGCTGCAACCATGGTGCCAGGTAGGCAGGCTTCCGAGCCAACCTGGCCCTCCCTGGCTATGGCGTGACTCCTTGTGAGTATCCATTCTCTCACCTTCGAGTGGGCTACTGAACATCTACCATGCTGTTATGTTAAAATCCCAGTGCATGCTATGTGCCCACCGCGGTGCTGTTCCACGGCAGCCCCCAGCGAACACAAAGAGGAGTGCTCCAAGACGGATTTGGCTATCACTCCCTCTTCCAGGCCTCAGCAGTATATAGGTAGGCATCGAGCCCTGTTTGTCTCCAGGTGGGCGGGGTCTGTGTTCCTTCATGTTCCCGGAGGCATTTCTGTGTCGTCCCATCCCAAGCTCCCACATCACAGCCCCACTCACGTGGTCCATCTTAGGCTCTAGGAGTCCCACTCACCTGGTCAGTTTCACACTCTCGCTTGCAGGTGCTCTGGGCATCCACCCAAAGGTTGGGGTTCATGTCGTTGGGGCAGATGCCCGCATGGGAATATCGGATGGGTGGCAGTGTTAGGCCTCGAAGGGGTGCCCCCAGGAGCAGCAGCAGCAGCCCCCAGTGGGACCAGAACCGATGACACCCTGGGGCCCACATGGTGCCGTCTGCAGTGGCCAGAGGGCTTCCCTGTGATGACACCAAGGGCTGAGGCCCACCAGGGCCCTTCTTCTCTGGGGCTGGAACACCTGCCCTCTTCACCTCAGCAAGTCTCCTTGCTGAGGCTGCTGGCTGGCTTCGGCTGCTGTGACTGCCTCCACCAAGTGCAGCCTGCTGGGCTGCGAGGCTTCACATAAAAGAAAGGTCTTTGGAAGGAAACTCCGTCCCACCCCACCCCCCCAACCCACCCCGGGTGCGCAGGGAGAGGAACACAGCAGGGGCTCGAGCCTGGATTTATATCCTGGGCGCAGCACCCGAGTGGGAGCGAGCTAACCTGATGTCGGTCAGAGGCAGGCTGCTGGCGCCTCTATCCCGTGGCTGATCACAGACGTATTGCAGAAAGGGGGGGAAGCTGGAAGCAGTTTAGGCAGCGGTCTCTGGCACGGTGGGACACCTGCTTGTTCTTGACTCCAGGAGGCCTTTAACCCTTTCCAGGGACAGAAATGGCATGTGCTTTGGGGGGAGCTGGCCCCAGGACACGCACGCTCACTGTGAGGCAGGTTTGTTTCCCTTTCCCCACCTCCTTGGGGCCAGGCCCCCTCCTCCCCTCAGCCACCTCTAAAGAACACACAATCGCTTGTTACGAGGAGGGACCTGAGCCGCTGTGTTAGCATCGCCCGGCTCGATAGTACATTTGAGAGCAAATGACGTGGAAAAACAAGTTCACGGCCATTCAAGGGCGGGCTCAAGCAGCCAGCGCTGTGCTGTGTAAGCCGACTCCCACCCCGGGCACCAGGTCCCCTTGTGGGGGGTATGCACTCAGGCAACACCACATCCCTGTGTTACGGGTTACCGGCAGTCCACGTCTTAAGTTCCAACTTTGGTGAATTCCCCCCAAATCATTCCAGAGAGACATACCAGATATGGTCTGGCTCCCCCGGGCTGCTGGGACGGATCACATTCCTTGCTCCTCTCTCTACACACTTGTGGAGTCCAAGAAACTGGTGCAAGCAACGGTGTCCCAGGACTTCACTACACCACCACCGAGCTGCCTTCACCGGTGGCCACGGTGGTCCTGCTTGGTGAGCCCTTGGGTGACAGGCACTATGGACATGTGGTTCTACTCCCTTCACCACACAGAGTGAAAGGCTTCTGGTGGGTCCAGGGTCCTTGGAAGCACCAATTATGCCAGTTACTTCTTATACATTCCAGACTCCACAATACATTATTTTATTTAATCCTTGCTGCAAACTGTACATCTAGTTTGGACTTAAGCAAAGGATGCACAGTGAAGCTAAGCCGCTCACCCTGGGTCCCACAGCTCCATTAATATAGAAGGCAAGGGCAGCAGCTTGCTGGGTGTGGGCAGGCCCATTTAAGGCCACCCCTCCCCCATCCATCTGCCAGAACCGCTGTCAAGGTACAGCCTAAAGTCTGTCTGGTCTTTACAGAATGGTCAAGACAGTTTTGAAAATGAAGGGTTGTATTTGTGGAAGGCTTGGGAAGAGAGATGCTAAGTGGTCAGGCAGTTAGAAGCCATTTCTGTCCCAGGAGCATGAGGGTATCTTGGTCATTACATGCTTGGAGTGATGAGGAAAATAAAACATGAGAAAAAGAGGTGCCTTTGTAAGGATTAGCCAACAAGGGTTGGGGGTGGGGGAGGTAGACTGAGCTGCAGTGGTTTAGAGCAGGGAAGTGGCCGGAAGGAGGACCCAAGGCCCTCAGCAGCTCTCTTGACATACTTGAACAACCATGGCTTCCCATTTTACAGTGGACTGTAAAAACCACCTGCAAGATCACCTCCTATATATTCTCTCACTTCCTAGCTTAGTGAAGTCCTGCCCCCCCACACACACACACACATACCAATTCCTTAACATTGCATGGGTCTCAGATCTGTCTACTCTGCCTAAGTGCTAGTGAAAGGTGTCAGGTCTTGATCTGCTAAGTTATCAGAACAAACCTCCCTCGGAGGAGGCCCATTCCAGTAATGAAGCCAGACAGCAGGCGATGCCAGCTGCTTTGAATTCCCTGTAACTTCATAAGCCGTGTTCCTGCTGCTTGAAGCAGGAGCCTGCACACAGCCCTGCCCTGGCTGTGGCTAGCTTAGCTTCCTGGGATACCACGAAAGGAAACAGACAATGACATGTTTCTAAGCAGCACTCAAAGGAGGAAAGTGTCACAAGCCATTACACCAGGACAGGCATCTGAAGGGAGGATGCTGGGTGTCTGAGGGGGTCTGCTGAGGCCATGAGAGGGTCCTAGGGAAGATGAGGGAAATGGGAGAGATGCAGGGGCGTGTGTGTGTGTGTGTGTGTGTGTGTGTGTGTGTGTGTGTGTGTGTGTGTGTTCGCGCGCACGTGCGCGTGTGCACGCACGTCCATTTTCAGGGTTGGTGGGAAAAGCCTCTCACCCATTTTTCACCGGTGACCCTCCTTGCAGCCCCAGGACACACCTGCACAAGAGAGGAAGCGGAACAGGAAAGTCAGGCTGGGCCTGCCAAGTAGTCAGTCCCACAGCCAGGGAAACCATGGCCCAAGCCCTCCCTCTCTATGTGACCCACACCTGTAGCCAGCAAACTTTCCAGGCCTGCTGAGGCCTCCCCGCTCTGCCTCTGCCCTGAAGCTATTCCTAAGCTATTCTGAAGTTCCACCTTAGAGTGCCCCACCACCCCAGGCCTCCCCGTGACTCCCTCAGACCCAAGGAAGAAGGTTCCTGACACCAAGTTCTACTAGGCACCAAGTTCCTCAATGGGAATAGATGTTGAGCTGAACTGCTAGGCAGAGGCCTGGCCTCTGGGTGTCTCCTCAATGTCACTCTCTCCCAAAGATACAGGATGCAGCTTAGTTTCTCAGCCTCTGAGTGTGAGAGGCCAGAGCGCATGCTGGACTCTGGTCTGTCTTAAAGAGCCCCCTCCACTGCTATGCCCTGCACACTCTTCAGGGTGAGCTCAGGACCTGCTCCAGGGTACTGCTGGCAGGAGGCCACCCTCACTCTGTCAGTGAACTCTGGGTGACCCTTGACCTCAGGTTCACCCTGAGCTTCCTGAGCAAGTGGGGTCTTGACAGGACAACACAGCTGACACTATTACCCAATTTGGCCAGTCTTACTTTACCCCTTAGGCGACCAAAGACCTCTAGGAATCTCACAGACACAATACACAAGCAGAGCCCCTTATCTCTCAGGTCTGCTCTCTCTTTCCCTTTCCCATCTCTCTCCTCAAATGGTTCTTTTTTTTTTAAGTCTTTTTTTATTATTATTATGTATACAACATACAACTTCTATGTATATCTGCACACCAGAAGAGGGCACCAGATCTCATAACCGATGGTTGTGAGGCACCATGTGGTTGCTGGGAATTGAACTCAGGGCCTCTGGAAGAACAGTCAGTGCTCTTAACCTCTGAGCCATCTCTCCAGCCCTCAAATGGTTCTTTTTGTTTGTTTGTTTTTATTTTTGACACAGGGATTCTCTGTACTTTGGAGCCAGTCCTGGAACTTGCTCCGAACACCAGGCTGGCCTCAAATTCACAGAGATCCTCCTGCCTCTGCCTCCCAAGTACTGGGATTAAAGACGTGTGCCACCCGCCTCCAGGCCTCAAATGGTTCTTTTTTTTTTAAGAATTTATTTATTTTTGCTTTATGCACACTGGTGTTTTTCCTGCATATATGTCTGTGTGAGATTGTCAGATTTCTTGAAACTGGAGTTATAGACAGTTGTGAGCTGCCATGTGGGTGCTGGGAATTGAACCTGGGTCCTCTGGAAGAGCAGTCAGAGCTCTTAACTACTGAGCCACCTCTCCAACCCCCTACCCCCACCCTGTGGTTCTTAAAGTACCTACTATGTGCTGGGTTCTTCACACACAGAAATCTACAACGGTATGTTTAGTCTGCACCAGAAAACAATCATGTCAAAATGATGATAGTAAGCCCAGGGAATATGAGGTTTGTGGGGGGTCCTTACCCTGCTGAGGAGTAGGGCAGAAGCGGCTGGGTTTGGGGTTTATGCAACGAGATGACTTTGGGTTGGGCTTGAGCAGCAGTCTACAAGAGAAAAGAAGGTAGTTTCCTACAACTCTTAGAGGCCTAGCCCACAGCTCTGGCCTCCTCGGCCAAGGCCCTCCCTTTGTGGGGCCCCGGCTCCAGGAAGGGGAGATGAGGGCAACTCAGCAGGTTTAAAAGGAGTGGGGGTGGGAGCTGCCCCACTCCTTTCAAAAGACAACCCTAGCAAAGACAGACCAGAAGCTCGCTCTGCTCTACCCTGTGTTCTCTAGGTAGGTCATTTACACTGTCCCACACAAGAAGCCAGTCCCAGGGAACCCACGGGCCCTGTGTTTGGAAGGATTTGGGGAGCAGGAACAGGAATGCAGAAAAGGCACTGTCCTCCACGAGGTCCTCAGATGGACAGCCCAGGCCACCTCAGGGAAAGGCTCATTACCCAGCTGGGGACCCCCTGCCCGAGCGGCCTCAGGCCTGGCTTACATTACAAGGCTACATGAGCTCTTCCCTCCAAGAGAGGCTGCACAGAGCCTTGGAATAATTATGGGGCCTCAGCAGATGGTGGAGGCGGATGGGGGAGGCCTTCAGCTGTGGGACACGTGACCCACCAGCATCTGTGTGGAACAGGACCTGGGAGTGTCCAGGCTGAGCTGATGGTGGTAGGGGGTTGGCACTGAATCAAGATCAGGAATTATGGCCTTGGGAGGGGTGGGGCACAGTTCTGGGAGGCCTCATGTTGTTGCCAGAGCCCCTGGACACCGGAAGGATCAGTGTGTGTCCTGAAGCACAGGCACACCCCAGGCACACAGGGCTGGGTGACTTTGAGAACTTGCATGTCCTGGAGAGGTTTAGCTCTGGTCCTGCCCCTCTGTGGTTCTTGGGCCGAGAAATGTGCACAGAGTGGCAATCAGGCTTTGCATTCACGTCACTCAAGGGAGGACCACCTCTAGTTCCCCATCTGAGGCCCCTCAGCTCCTGCCTCTGTGATCCAGGTCCTGATTT